GAAATTATATACTCTGTTCTGTTGTAAGACACTTCAATAAAAATATCACACAAAAAAAAAAGATTTCCAAGTGATTAAATAGGTGGTTTTAAATCCTGGCCTTGTAGTAGGGAGCATATCAAGCTGAGAATTGGCTCGGATGATGACATGGATGCTTTTGTTTACACTTTATTTGCACATGTGACTTTTTCCACAAATAAAGTGAAAAATAAAGTCAACARTGTAGCCTCCAAATCGTTTGGTGTATAACCGAAACTCTTCCTCTTCATTGTTCCTGCAGATATCTTTCTTACATTGTTGCCTTTTTTATTGTGCACTAATTACTTTTTCTCAAACAGTGTGTAATTGAAGATAAGAGGGGAATTATTTTTATTATGCCATTACATTGTTATATTTTGTTGTAGTTTGTTAATACAAAACCTTCGTATTTGTCTTTGTCTCGTGTTTTATCATAACTGACAAAAGGCGAAATCACTAAATCGTTCAATCAATATGACAAGTATCAACATCGATATTAAGGATACCAGCCCTGAATTTATTTGGTACAGGATCAAAACCAAAATCTCTAGCATCACCTACTCCTACCTTTGAGGGTCAATGTTCAACATCTTTTAGGGGTCAAACACAGACCCCATTTTCACAAGAATTTAAAGTGTATTTTTTTGGACACCCTCCTCAAATGCGTGTGAAAAAATTTTGAGTTTCACGAAACTTTAAGAGAAGTGACGTTCGTGAACGATCCAACTCATTTGAACAACTCCTGACAAAGAATGATGAAAAAGGAGTTGCGGACAGTAAAAACCAGCTTGTAGTTGTTTTTTTTTATCGTTGCGATATCTTCCTTTACCACAGAGACAATCACTCCTCTTCTGCTTTTTCACAGTAAAAAGGCAGAGCGGTGGAGAACAGCAGCTCAGGGGGAAAGGGAGCGAAGGGTTCCACTTAATAGACATGGTTCCGCCCACCTGACGCGATGACATCATCACGTAACGAACAGCTTTACAACAAGATCACTTGTTATAGATTGTTTGCCCC